AAAAAAAAAAAAAAAAAAACTTGGCAAAAGTTAGCGGAATCAGGTCAAAATGTGTAAAGAAAGTCAATAATCCCAGGCACAGGCCAGTCTGTAGGCTTAAACAATGGCCGAAGACAATTGGGAGTGTGTCGGCGGTCTCTTTCTTCGTGTGTTCTCAAAGTAAATAGAGTGCCTTCGGGTGTTACAACCAAAAAAAAAAAAAAAAAAAAAAAGAAAAAGAAAAAAAAAAAAGAAGGAAGGACCAAGAGGGAAAGCACGAGAGCCGGCAGCCCGCAAGATTCAGCACTGCCAAAACAAAGGAGCCACAGGCCACCAAAACTTCAAAATTTTGCAGAAGGTCTCTCCAGTTGTTTTTTTTATTAAGGTTGCGTCTTGTTGTCGTTGCGCGTCTAACAAAACAAAGGGGGAGGGGCAGCAAGTTCACTAAAGTGCCCGCCTCCTTTCTCCGGTGTCGTGTTTGGAAGGGCCGCGGAATCAGTCAACTTGGGCCACTGCCTGGCTTTCAAGCCGCGGCGTCTTGGCTAGTTTCTATCAAATAATGGGGGGTGTTGGAGGGGCTCCGCCCTGTAAGAGACTAAAACAACCAAAAGAGAGGCCAGGGGAGGCACTGGAGGAAGGTTGGCAGCAAGTTTAGTAGCCGGCATGAACGTCAAAAAATTTCCCGCCGCAAAATTTTGGCAAATTTTCCGCCGGAAAATTTTCCCGAAATCTTCGAAAAATCCTGCACAATCGTAAAAAGGGCACCAGGGACAGCTGTAGGCAAAATGGGTGAAGAAACTTCGCAAGAAGTAACGAAAGGGCGCACATTGTGGGAGAGCGGTTTTTTTTCCGGCGGAAAATTTTCGGGGGAATTTTCTGGCGGTAATTTTTTTTCCCAAAGTCCAAAAGGCCGCCAAAGTCCTAAAATAAATGCGCAAGGGCTCGCCAGGGACAGCGGTAGGCAAAAACAAACAGAGGGCGTGCGTTAAAAGGGAAAAGTTGTCTGGAGTATTTTTTTTCCGGCGGAAAATTTTCCGGGTCGTTTTTTTTCTGGCGGAAAAATTTTAACAAAGTCCAAAAGGCCTCCAAAGGCTTACACGGTTGAACATTTGGCGCGCAAAGAACGGCAAGGGGCATCAAGGCCAAAGAAACTTGACAAAAAGGAGACGGAGGGCACACGTTGCCGGTCGGGTGTTTTTTTTCGGCGGAAAGTTTTTCGCGATATTTTTTTTCCGGCGAAAAATTTTTCAGAAAATTCACCAGAAGACTTTTCGTAAAAGTTTAAAAGGTCTCAAAAGCCCATAAAGCTCCAGGGGAGGGCTCGCAAGGGTAACAACACTCAAAAGGACTAAGAGGGACACGATAAAGAAAGCAGGCGGGGCGTGTGCAATTTTTGTTTACTTATTTTTTTACCGGTGGAAAATTTTTCGTAAAATTTCCCGCCGGAAAACTGTCCTCCCGCCATGCATAAAGCCGCCAGAACCAAGTAAGCTGGAACGTCGTAGGGCTTCAAGGTTGGGGCATCAGTGAGGGCGGCCCATTCTATGCATGCCAAAAGCGCAAAAGGTCAGAAAATGAAACAAGACAAGAAAAAGAAGCAGAATAGGCAAGAACTTTCCGCCGGAGGATTTTCCTGCAAAAACGTGGACAATACCACAGGAGAAACTACCAAGAACAAAAAAAGGGGAGACGCGAGGCAGGGCATGGAACTAGTTCAGCAAAGTCGTCGCAGGACTTCAGGGGAAAAATTTCCGCCGGAAAATTTTCGCCAATGTTTTCCGCCGGAAAATTTTCCGCGGGGGGTTTCCCGCCTTCCTTTCTCTGTTTGGACTCATTCAGAGAGGACGCGCTGATTTAATCAGCAGATCTTACGAACCAAGCAAAGGGCGCCAGCTCCTTGGGCTTTGTCTTATCTAGGTGGTGAGGCCGATGAAGGTGGTGCGCGCCGGCTGCTTACCAAAGTAGCCAACTTGTTTGGGCCGTCTTTGACTCAAGTAATTGAAGAAGACACCAGGCGGAGGCAGCCGCCGGCTTTGCAGCATGCTCCAGCATGTAAAAAGGTGAAACAGTAGAAAAGACAAAGAGGACGCGCTGATTTAATCAGCAGATCTTACGAACCAAGCAAAGGGCGCCAGCTCCTTGGGCTTTGTCCTATCTAAGTGGTGAGGCCGATGAAGGCGGTGCGCGCCGGCTGCTCACCAAAGTAGCCAGCTTGTTTGGGCCGTCTTTGACTCAAGTAATTGAAGAAGACACCAGGCGGAGGCAGCCGCCGGCTTTGCAGCATGCTCCAGCATGTAAAAAGGTGAAACAGTAGAAAAGACAAAGAGGACGCGCTGATTTAATCAGCAGATCTTACGAACCAAGCAAAGGGCGCCAGCTCCTTGGGCTTTGTCCTATCTAAGTGGTGAGGCCGATGAAGGCGGTGCGCGCCGGCTGCTCACCAAAGTAGCCAGCTTGTTTGGGCCGTCTTTGACTCAAGTAATTGAAGAAGACACCAGGCGGAGGCAGCCGCCGGCTTTGCAGCATGCTCCAGCATGTAAAAAGGTGAAACAGTAGAAAAGACAAAGAGGACGCGCTGACTTAGTCAGCAGATCTTACGAACCAAGCAAAGGGCGCCAGCTCCTTGGGCTTTGTCCTATCTAAGTGGTGAGGCCGATGAAGGTGACGCGCGCCGGCTGCTCGCCAAAGTCGCCGACCAGTTGGGGCAGGACAGCCGCAGCGACTCGCCAGGAAGCAAAAAAAGGAGCAACCAGCCGCCGGCCGTGCAGCGTGCTCCAGCATCAAGAAAGGTGAAACAGGGGAAGGGCAGGGGCGTCGGGCCCTCTCGCGGCCAGCGTCGCCTGTCGGCTGTCGTGCCCTATACAAGAAAAACAAAGTAGGTAAGGTCGAGAATCCATCTAGCATAAAAACTCGGCGAGGTGGTCGCAATCTGTGGGAGTGCGGCAAGATGTGAGCGCAGTAGGTTGAAGTTTGAAGGAGTAAAAGCAAAGGGCCCTAGTTCATCCCGTTAAAATTTAGGCAACACCAGAGGCAGGACTTTTCTTCGCGTATTCCCGTCCCGATTGGTAAAAGCTCGACGGTTTTTTTTGTTCTTCAATAAGCTAAAGCCTTGGGGAATATACAAAACCAAGAACCAGCCTGAAAGGACAGGAGCACGCGCAAGTTCACTAAGTACGCCCGTCCCCTTTTCAAAGTTTTGAAGCCTGACGACTTCAAGGGGGTTCAGTATATTCAATCCGACAAAAATGGCCACCCTACCAAGGGCTGGCGCTTTGCGCAAGCTTCTCCACACTTGTGGCGCAGAAGGTGCACAAAGCGACCCAACAGCATGCGTCCTGATAGCAAAAGTGCTGCAAATGTTCTCGCCCGCAAGAAATTCCAGGGAGGAGGTTCTCATGACGATGCTCCAGGTGGCCATGGCAAAAATTGCTGACATTCTTGAGCACAGGCGTGAGGTGGAAAGCCGCATGGTCATCGATTTCGCCGAAAACCCATACCCTCTGCTGAAGTGCCTCGCGCCTTCGGGGACTGCGCCCCAGGCACGTGTAGCCGCAATGAGTATCGTGCGACAATTAAAGGAAAACAAAACCGCGAAAAACCCGGACGACCTTGCCAGGACCCTCGAAAAGTGGCGGCACACTGGTGGAATCGTAATTAAAACAGACGGCAAAAAGGACGGGCAGGCCTTATTCTCATCCGGAAAACCTTGGGCCAGGTGGGGCCAGGTCTTTGGGTGCTTAAACGCAATTGGGCTCGTGCATTGTGTGCCCGGTGCTCATATCATTTCGCCAGTGACATTCTGGTCGCATGTTCATAATGAGGAAACTTTGGAAGACGAAAGCGAGGAGGCTGAGGACGATGAAGGTGGAAAGGATGAGGATGACGACAACAGAGAAGCCGAAGGCGGCGCGCAGTACGAAAAAAAATCAAAGGAGCTCGAGCTGTATGAAGAGGGCCCGTTTTTGGACAAGATGGCGCATGATTTCAAAGAGAAGCTTGCCTCTCTGGGTTGCGAAAAGGAGGACAAGCCCCCCAAGATATATTTCAGCGATGCCAACAGCAAGGACCTCGAGAACAGTGACGAAGACGACCTGCACCCACCTAAAAGAGGGCGCCTGTATTAAAAATGAAGGAGGTGGGGGCCTTTGGTTTATTATATATAAGAAGGATAGCGGTTCGGGTATGTATTTGACAACTGACAGCCTTAACAAATAAAGAAAACAACTGGCGGCAACTACTTAAAGAACATAACTAGCGATAAACTAACTAAGTGATATAACTAGCAATAAACTGACTAAACGATATACCTAACGATGAAACAAAGAAAGAACAAAAACACCAGCAACCTCGCGCACCGTGTAAAAATATGACGAGCGTCACTCGAGTGGTTCCCGCGGTCCTCTGAGAGATATTGCATAATGGCATAAAAGATCTTCAAAACTGATTGAATAGATTAAAAGTCCTGAAATAAGTGACACACTTCAAAAGATGTCTGGCCTTGGTCTGTTGTGTTTTTTTTTGTCTGTCTTATTTGGAGTAAAACTATCAAGAACGGGCGCAGTGCCTGGTAAGATCTTAACCATAAAACTGATCTGCATCATGATAAACATTGAGCGAAGTCCGTAAAGCAAATGAATTAAGTAAAAAAAAAAAACGAGAAACAAAGAGGACCCGCAGGAACTATTCGCGAAAGAGTGACCACGTCAAAAGCGCGCAGGTGTGCCGGTGTTCGTCAAGTAAATAGAAACGAGATAAGCAACAAGATCGACAAAACAAAACCTAAGGCATCTGATTCAACTGAGTCCACAAGTGTGAGAATGATCTCGCGCATTTTGTTAATAAAATTTCTTTCAAGGGTTTCGTGGCTTCAAGGTTAAAAGGGCCGAGATTTGGTCTTGTTTTTCCCCTTTGATTCCTGCGACCAAGTAAATTGCTCATAAGTCGTAGCAGCCTTGTAGCTTGCTCTAGCGCGTTTGTTTACATAGAAAACATCAGAAGCCGTGTAGCTTGTTTATCTAGTGCATTCGTGTCTTGCTTATAGTAATTCTCAACATTTCGTAGCAATTTTGGATCATTCGACTCAAATTCCGTAACTTCTGTAATTTGTATTCACTAAAGCAGGAGAGTGGGTATTACCTTAATAGATAGTAGCTATTAGGTTTGAAGTTTTCTCTCGATCCTTCTGGTGCTAGTGTGTTGAAATCCTTCTAGTAAAATTTTCCGTGACTAGTTTGACCCGCTTAGAACGCTCGCGAAAGATCGTTAGGGCTATAGAAACTTGACCCGGAGAAGGAAGGAAGGCTGACGGCCGTGGACTTCATAGTAACCACGTTAATAATAGCTATGCTTCAAACATCTAACCAACTAGCCGCATGCAGTTCTTTGATTAGCGTAAAATCCTTTATTGGTACTATGCTTCTCGTGTCCGTTTTTGTTTGAGTAGATTGGTCTGCTCCTTTAAATTCAGAAACATTATCGACCTTTCAGCCCGTGTAGCTATTCAGGTCCGTCGTCCGTCTGCCTTTTCCAGGATTGCCTGGTCTCCTTCTAGTGTATTAGATTCCATCCATTTGGGTGCCAGTTTCTCTGTTCTTTTGGTCGATCGTGTGTCGGCTAGTTAATTAAGCTCGAGCACCGCGTCAAGCTGATGCGTTTGGCTGCTCTTATACAAACCTGAGCAAACATTTTCCGAAATCTTCCGTGACTCTTTTGAATCAGGCCAAAGATAAAACGTGACTAAGTCAGTTACAGCGCGATGGCGGTCGTGTAGTGGCCCGGCCTTGTTCTCTGCAGCTCGCTACGTTAGTATAGAAATGGTCCGACGGGTCTGCCCCTATTTGATAAATAGGCTAAAGTAGCGCTTTCCGTGAATTATTTAAGTACGCGACTAAGTAAGACTATACCTAACAAACAAGATGACCTCATCCGACGGAGAATATTCCACCGCGCCACGTGTGCGCAGAATGGCCCACCGCGGTCGACGGGCAACAAATGAAGAAGATCCGTACGAATTGGGTGACCCTTCAGGCGGTGCCGGTGTGTTGTTCACGAACGCGATCACCGCCGAGGAAGCAGCCGATGGCTTTGATCTGCATAGTAACGCAAACAGTGAGCCGCTAGACGATGCCGACCCTGCTGGTGACTTCGACGAAGCTGAAACACGCCGGGAATTAGCCGAAGGGCTTGCAACTGCTGACAACCAAACTGAAGCACTCCTAGGGGTGCCACCTGTCATCCATAACCAGGACAGACATGCCGAGCAGATAAATCATCAGGACCGGACGCACCCCAGTAGTGGCGCGGCCGATCTGGTCCACAACAACAGCACCAACCCCGCTGGTTCCCATCCAGACGGCCGATCCGCTTCTTTGCCGCCTTCCCTCCCCTCGTCCCGGGGTGGCCAACTGGACGGCCCCGGAACCCCCTGCGGTGCGACTCCCTCCCCCCGTCCTCCTTCGGGACGGCAGGGCAGCGCCCAGGACGAACATATCTTTTCATAAAAATCGGCTGTGCGCCGATAAAGTGGACTTTTATCGGCGCACAGCCGATTTATGCTAAAAGTTACGCTTTTTTATGTAAACTTATGCATAGTTATGCCTACTTATGCTCGTCCTTTTTTCTAGTTGACGACGCCATTCGGTAGCGTCGTCAGCAACTCCATGTGGCTGATGCCCTTTTTTACGCACACCGAACGAAGCTCCGCGCGCTCCATTGCGGACAATTGGTTCAATATGGAACCCGTTTCACGTTGATGTATCTCACGGGCCTTCCGTCTTTTCCCAGTAGCGCTCCAAAATATCGGCGTTTCGAGGATCTGCTGGCACATCCAGACGCGAATGATATTAGAGAACGCCGCCACGAAATACAAAAAACGAAAACAATATACACAGGGAGCGGCCAAGTAATAACTAATGTTGCTATTCATGGCTGTACCTTCCCGGAAATCTACTTGCCAACGCTTTCCCTTCTCAGTACATAGTGGCTAAGACTCTACTCTGAGGGGTGCTTGCCACTCATCTGGCAAGCCCCTGCGAACGGAAAACAGACGAGACTACACGTCTCAGAATAAAACCTTACTTATTTTATATTTTTGTATAAGAAGATATCACCATAGGAAGATAAATATAAACAGAGGCCTTAATGTAGGCCCATGCCACCCGAGGCCCAACTTTTTTGGTGCATTGGTGCTGCGCCACGACTTTGGCCCGCTCTAGTGGCCTCATGCTCCTCATCCACGACTTGACGAAATTCGCTCGGTAATCATTACCGCACTCCCGATTGTCAGATACTCTGAAATACCTGCGGACAAATGGCATATGAGCAAGAGCACCGCCATTAGCAAACAGATGCGCAATGGTCTAGCTCTAAGCCACAAGCTCTAACGCTAGTAGTTGCACATAGAAAACAATATCAATAACAGAAAACGAGATCGAGACCAATATCAATAACAGAAAACAATATCAATAACAGAAAACGAGATCGCCCACTTATATACGAACACACATTCGCAACCGACTTAAAGTTAAAAAGCCACGGCACCCGTCGTTAAGCACACTCCAAAAATTTCGTCCCTTTCGCATATTGGCCTCGACCTCCGCCTCTTCTAACTCGTTCTCCTCCTCACTTCCTGACTCGCCATCATCTAGGTAGATAGGGTTATGGGCCCCCGCGTTCTCCACCGCGTTATCGTTCTCCGCAGGAAAAAGATGTTCTTGAGCTTGATCATCTGCGACAACGAGTATTAGAAAAAGAGGAGCCCACGTCCACACCCTGTTCCACTTTCACTCTCTCGACTGATTGCTAACTCCTCTCAGAAAAGTAGCAGTCTGAGTCTGAGAGGCAGAATGCATGCTCTCAGAAAAAAGCAACAGCAAGGCGTGCCTGAAGTTGAACTACTTGAATCATAAAGCCTCCTGCTCAGCATCGCTCTCCACACCAACGTCGGCATACCAATCGTCGCCATCCGCCGCTTCTGGATCAGGAGATGCGCGCGCAACTTTGGCATTGCCCCTCACTTCCACGAAGTCGTGCACAATCAGAGAAATGAACGTAGTCTCATCCGCTACGTCGGGCTTGGCGAGCTCCACAAAAAGGCGGAGGATCTTGGAGTCAGTCTCTGGGACGCATGCCAACAGTTCCCGCAGCGGCTGTGCGACTAGCGGCCCCGTCAACTGCAATGTCAGAGCTCTATTAGATGAAAAACAATCTAGATAGGCGCCCCCACATGAAGTTGTAGTTACCCTTGCCGCCTGATAGAAACAAAGGCACTCTCTCAGAAAGAGAAGCTCCAGAGCCCTCGTCTTGATCATCATCATAGCATACCCAAGTCCCCTTAATGTAAGATCCTGCGTCCTGCGAGAAGCTCCACACGATGCCCCACATGTCGAGACCCTTCGGCCGATGTCCGGCATAAAAAGCGTTGATCAGCTCCCCCTCGGGACACATAACTGCGTAGAAACCGTCACCCTCGAATAAATGCTCGAAGAATGGATAGAAGCGGGTTGTTACGGCGGCGAGGCCCAGCGTCTGCCATTCCCAATCGCGATGAGCTTTTGGTCGCAAGCGTTTCGCCTCCTGCGTCGAATCTGGAAAATCAGCAGGAGTTCCAACCAACGCCTTCCCCAAGCGACTTCGGCGCACCGCGGATGAGTTGGCCACCAGGTCCGCCCAAGACGGGCGGTTATCGAGGATCCAGGCGACCCACTCATCCAAAGTCGCAAGCTCGCAGCTTGCGCTGGCCTTCTCAGCAATCTTGTCTTTGATTTCCTGTGCTTCTTTCTTGGCGTCAGCTTTGATCGCCGCGACTTCGCTCTTCAGGCGTTCCACATTGTTCGAGACGTAGTCCTCCCACTTTTCCTTCTCCTCAGTTTCGGCCGTTTTTCCCTCCAGGTCGCCTGCGTACTTTTTCAGCTCTATCAGAGCCAAATTCTTCCAGCTCCAATACTTTTTGCTGTCCGCCTTTTTAGCTATTAGAAGGACCCGAGTACGATGATCGATCATCGGCCCGGGTTAGGCTTAGATATCACTATCTACCAATGCAGTAAGCTAAAGCTAATTGCGTTTGAATTTGAAACGATGCGCAAGCGCATAGCACTATGGACGCTACCAAGATCACTTCTTTGGTCCTGTTTAACGTTAACCTTAAAAATACCTTAAAACAAGACTCGGCTTCAGTGACCGTGGTCACTAAAACCGTTTCTCGATCCTGTTTAACTTTAACCTTAAAAAAACCTTAAAACAGGATGATGAACCTGTTTTAGTGACCATGTTTAACCTGGAAATACCTTAAAACAAGACCAGGGAGCGGCTTGCTGAGTACAACTACATACTACTACTGACTAGGAAAGCACTGACTAAAAAATCCATGGCGACTGAGCGTAACCACTAGCGCTATAATTTTCAAACGATAACGTCGCGAGTTCTTGCGAGTGAAGAAGATGCTGCTGGTAGTACCAGCACCACAAGAGCTCGCAGTAAAAACGTCTTCCCTTCAATGAAAGGCCCGAAGTCAAGTAATTAGTCAGTCAAGAATCACTTTGACAATCGTGAAATGATAGAAGTAAACACATAAGAAGGCCTTCTTCTGCTTGCGCCTCCCCTGCACAATCTGCCATCTTTTTTTTTGCCATCGCGCGAATATGCTGGCACGGCTTCCCCGGCTCCACGACCTTATCTTGTGACGACGTTAGAGTTGACTCAAAGCCCACTAATCCGCCAACTGCCACTAAGTCAAGGTCAACTACAACTATGCCATCTCCTGAAAAGCCAAAGCCAAAAAGTAACGCACCATGTACGACGTCCCTACTTTTAGCAATGCTAACACTAAATCTAAACTGAACGCAAATATTAACTATTCTACTGGACTAGCAGTAGCACTAGCAGCACAGAAGCAGTCACGAGCACGACGGCCAACGGGAATGGTAGGAATGTTAATCTTGATGCTCCTTTTCCTTAACCCCGAGCTCATAAGTGAACTGTCTGGTATCCCCGCAGATCTTCCGTTTGGAATTAGTGCTAGCGGAGATAAGATGTTGAGCAGAAAAATGAGCGACCAATACCAATAAATTGGCCAATCCTCCTTATGCGCTCACGAGTAGCGCATGGAAAAGCCACTGCGAGATAGAGAGTAGAGAGTCGCGCGCACCTTCTTCCAAACGCTGGCTCATCTAACTCACCTTCACCTATCTCGAATAGTATCCATCATTTTCCTATCAGTATTTGTTTGCACAGGAGCGACGCCACTCACCTTCCCTTACTTTTGCCTTAACGGTCGGGAAATTATTTGGATCACTTGCTGCTATCACCCGGGCCAGCTCGTTTTGAATTTCGGGACAGCGGATCCCAAGCGGAGCAGCCACAAGTCTGCTGCGCAGGTCTCGAGAGTAGCTGTCCAAGTAATCAGATGGGATTTCCAACAGGCGGCTAGCCTCAGTCACGTATGTTTGCGGGTTGTGCTCTTTGCTCAGCAACGCGATGCGGCCTGGGAAATCCCTGTAGCGCTCGAACCTCGCACAAGTCTAAATTAGAAGTAAGGGGGCGTCGGGTCAGGAGAAGCCTACTCAAAAACATGACCAAAACAAATAGTCATACTCATATACTGCCGGCGCTGCCGTTGAAGGCGACACGCATCTGCTGGCCCTGGTAGTGCTAGTAGATGCGAGATTTAATAACACTCTCGAGCCGAGACCTTTTTTACGGACTGAAAGCATGGCAGGCCCATACTCAGAATGGAGCATCTCCACAAACATAAGCATAACAACAAAAACGAAGACAACACCCGAATCACCAATAGCATCCCACCGCCCTCTTGCACGAGGTCTCTGTCAATTGTCAGCTTTCGCAACACGTTCCGGGCGTTGTGATTGGCGACGTCCTGCGGCTTTCCTTTCGCAAATTTGCACAGGAGCGGCACAGCATTTTCTTCAGGCGCCTATCTTTAGAGCCTAGGTGGTGACCCATCAATCGCTGCGCAATGATTGTCTCACACCAATGATTGACCTTCCCTACACAAACGCGCTACGCATAGTTTAGTTTTAATCTGCGCGTCCAATCACCGACCTCGCTACCGCTAGTGAAGAGAAAATAGTAGAGGTGGAAGCATAAATAGCGACTATAGGCAGTCACGTCGTAGCCTCGATTAATTGATCATCAATGTTCATCTTGGGATCCTTAATCTTTGGAGCTGGCAGCGACCTTCCCGGTCGCCTCGACCACCTGCCAGCCGAGGACGCTGAGCTTCACGGTCGTCAGCGTCCTCGGGTCGGAAATGAATGCGCGCAAAAATTTCATCTTCGTGGGCATCACCGAGGGACCAATCAGCTCCGTGAAAAGGGACTTGGGCGCGATGAGAAGCATGAGAAATATCGCCTGCATGCATGGTCGCCAAATGAAAGTGGGGGCGGTGACTCCTAGGGGAGCGAGGGGGAGACGAAGAGCGCAGAATTGCCGAAGTAGATCTGGTGGCACGTGGATTGGGGTTAATTACAATTAGCATTCTACCTTAAAATGGAGAAGTAAGGAGGCCTATGCCTATAATTAGGCAACAGCATACCACATGATAGATTGAGTTATAATAGTTCTACTCTGGTGCATACCGTCACGAATAAGAATATCATCAACTATTCTTAATCAACTACTCTTCTTATGTACTCGGAATAGAAATAGATATATATGGAAGAACTCAAAGGCAAAATCTAGCATCGCAGAGGGCTTAACCTTAGCTAGCCAGTCACTTGCGCTTCCTGTTACTGATACTGTTTCCATAACAAATAAAAAAAATCGGGTCAGCACGGGGTGATCCTCTACTTTGCAAATTTTGGCTATGGTAGCGCGGGCTAAGTCAACTCCGCTGGCGTCCGGGTCAGCCGCTCGCAACAGGTCGCCATCGATGCACTCGTAAAGACGAGAAAGGGTCAGGAGCTTGCTGTGCAACAGAGTCCTCTCCGCAGGGCTCATTTGCGTGATTCGCATCCGAACGCCAATCTTCCATTCTTTGATTAGATGACGAGCATGAAGATGCTGACCCTGACACACCCAGAGGCGACGACGATTAATAGATGAAGTCGAAGCGAGCACGAGGATCAATATCAAATTTATTGTGAGTAAAAAACGACATAACTCGCAACAGGAAGGCGCCACCCACCGAAACAACGCATTCGCCGCGCGGCAAAGATCAACTTCTTGACAGGACTCGCCCTCCAAGACATCGAGGACATCCTTCGCTCGGAGAAGGGCCTTGCTTTTGCCAACCATGGCGTATTCGCTGTTTAGCGCGAACTTGTGCGGCCCGCACTCAAAAACCAATGGAAGGTAAAGCACATGCGTTCCAAGCCGGCACTTCAATCTTGCGCGAATCTTTGGCGCAACCATGCGAGCGCATGGGAAGTTCGCACTCCCACCATCGGATACTATTACGTGAACAACACGCTGCAGCACGTGGCCAATCCCTGGTGTGCTGTTGCCTCTCCTCGCGACCTCCGTATCTACGCCGGTTTTGATCACATCGATGACGGTCACAAATTAGAAAGGGCAACTACGAGAGAATGATGCTGGCTAATACTCACAACGAGTAGACAATTCACACTTGGAAAGAGCTGCTACTACTTTTTACGAAAAATATTTAGGGACGCCACCTGATCGAACCTCCCTCAACAACCCTTGCCAATACATGACGACTAGTATCTATTCACGCTCTATGCACCATACTCACGCCCTTTTCCTTCATAATCAAACACGGTCATTATGCTCTGCGCCAGCGTCTCTGCGTTTTTGTTCTTCATTATATATAACTCGCTGAATTGCTCAACCGCCGTCCCGTCTCTGTTGTAGCTTAGATAGAGGCCAGAAACAACAAACAAGCATAGGTCGGAGGCTGCGCTCCTATTCTCCAGCGAGAGTGCCTACAAATACAATAACTAAAACTCGATATGAGGAGCCTTAAGTAGAAGCCCAAGACAAAAATCTGGACTTTCTTTGCCCGTGCGCTGTCGCTGCGGGCGATGCGAAAGAGAGTGGAGGCTTCGTCATGGCCGCAGCGTGCAACCACGGTTCCACTGCGAGCCAAGTCGCCGGCTACCTCACGCGCACAACAGTAACGGTTGTCCATGAGAATCTTCTCGCAAGCCGCGTCCCTCAGCCTCGCCTTGATTAGAGAGTGCCACTGCTCAGCAGAGTAACTACTCCTAAATACAACTTCGCTCTTGTTCCTGAAGCTAAATACTAACTCCTTCACGGCTAGACTCTATTCACATTGATTCGCCATTCTAGTCTTTAGTCACTCGATCACCTTCTGCTTCTGCCCTGTGATATGATCACTGATCAACACATCACAGGGCGCGCTTCACTTTTGGAACGAAATTAGTGACACTAAACAAGTATAAACGTAAGTGGGAACATAAGAGATGGGTCCTGCTCGGTGCGCCCTCCAATTCATTACATTCCGAGGCAAAATGCCGGGTCGCCACCGTGTCGTCTGCCAGTATGAGAGGGCAACAGTAATTATTTATATACACTGACGACGAGACACAAAGATACTTACTTTTTTCGTCATGCGATCTCTCTCACCCACCGCAAACAAGCCTACAACTACTACTACAGGCCTTCCTATCAGACGGACCTCCTCGCCCCGGAGCAGAAACTAGAGGAAGGGGAAAACAAAACTGAGAAATAAGCCACTTCGACTGGGGACAAGCCCACTTCTATTAGATAATGAGGCACAAGCAAGGAATGAATAAACAGAAGCCCATAAACAGCACCATGCTCATCCTCAGCATCTCGTTGGTGACCGCGGCCAAACGCTCCTTCTGTTCGCGGAGCGTCATCGCAGTTTTCCGCCAGTGACGGTAGCGCTCTATCCACTGACGGCGCGCCAACGCTTTGCGTCCGCGTTTTCCCAACGGCCGCTTCTCGGCGTCCTCTGGAGGGAATAAAGGGCCGTGCCCGTCGGTTTTCTTGCCGAATTCAAATATGAAATAAGGGGGAGGTGGTGCAGCAAGCAAATCGCTCGAAACGAGTGTGGAGCTAGTGAGAGCGAGCTAAAACTTTATCAGCTGTAAACAATCGTAGTGAGAGGGAGGGCAGCCTGATTACTCGATGATCATTTTCGAGATGTCGCTTAAGGTTATTAAACATCATCCATAATTATCGCCGGCTTCTTGTTCTTCGAGAACTCACTCTTCCCACCGAAGGGGTCGACAACGACTGTTGGCTCAGCGCGACGCTTCGCGAGCAGAGCTTCTTTACGGGCCTCCGCGTCCTTCTTGGCTGCATCGTGGCAGAAGACAGCGCCGGATATCAGCTTCCGGACCTTTTTGCGGAGTTGCTTTGGCCGGAAGCGAGTTTTCTTGGCTTTTCGCGGCGGGGCTGACTTCGGCGCATTGCCCTCAGCGAGTACCAATTCTCCTTCGGCCTCCCACTCCATGATGTGCGTACGCAGATGCAGCAGCAGCAGCAGCAGGCAGGCAGGCGCCCACGATGGACCACAAGCGACTAGTTACTCAACGACACACGACAACCAAGTAACATTCAATAGACATATTGCTCATCGAACGTCATCCGCTAACTATGAGTCACGATCTTGATCGTGATCTTAATGTTAATAATAAATAAAGGTGGGTCAGCAGCTAGTAAATAAGAAGACGGTGGAGGCGGAAAGCGTATAAGTATATAATCAAACGTCGATACTGTCACGAGTTGGAACTGGAAGAGGAGGAGGAGAGAGCAGACTTTAAATAAAGCGACGCAATCACGCAAATCATTCATCTTCAAATAACATAAAGCTTGACTATCCTTCTCTCTTTTCGGATCCAGTCTCACTCCCCTATCCATTATACTTCTCTCTAAATCGAGTCTCTCTCTCACTTATACTTCTCTAGATGCACCTGCTGTGCTTGATCTTCATGCTTTTTGATGTACTACAAAAGTCGGGGACGAACAAGTCAACTAGCCAAATGAGGGAACTACGAATTGCGAAAACACAAAACGTCGATGAGTCTTTGCATTGCGTCAGTGGCGCCCTTCGAAAGATATTATCGTCTTCTACTCCACGAAGGTGGAGGGCGAAGCCTTCGTCTTTACTAGAAGAGAGAGCGCCACCGCCGCAACCCCGCGCTCCACGTGTTTCTCCACTACCGACAAGAACCTCGTCGGTCGTGGGACCCGGACGTGCTCATCGGTCGGACGCATCTACCACAACAAAAGCAACTCGCCGACCAGACAGCCACCTGTCGGGCGGCGAACGATGATGACTGATGTTGAACAAGAAGGGGGCCTCTGATCAGACAAGACGACGAACAAGAAGAGGGGCTCTGACTCGACGGACGACGACGACGTCGAGCAAGGAGCAAGGAAGTAGAAGTAGAAGGGAGGAGCTCCCGATGCAGATCAGAGACTCCAGCGCGACGTTCTTGAAACTGGACGTCGACGAACAAGAAGGAGCTCCTGCCGTCAGGAGTGCTAGAAGGGCGGGCAACCGCGAAAGAGCTCGGCGCGCAGAACTCGCCCTCCAGAAGCAAGAAGTAAGTCTGTCAGATGACGAACAGGCGCGACATAAGTAAGCAGAACTTCCGCCGAGCTCCCGGAGGCCACGGGGCGGACGCCTGCAGAAGTCTGCAGAACTTGACAAAAGTCGCCAAAATCGCCCGGAAAAAGTTGGGGCTTAAGCCAAGGGGTTTGGTCTTCCTAAGGCGAGTCCCTAATAGGCAACACTACCTAGAAAGGCGCGCATCTCGCGTCTTGAAAAATATGGCTGTTTCCGGTGCAAATATTCAATTGCAACAAATGTAGCGCAGAGGCATCCTCGAAGGCTTCTCGTCGACAAATGTCGCAAATAAATGCACTTTCGGATTGCGACTGGTCCAACCAATACACAATCGACACAGATGAGAAGTCAAACGCTATAGGCGGATGACTTGGCTAAAACCTGAAACCTTGAAAGTCTTTGAGGCAAATCGGCCGTGAGTCATGTGTGGCGACAAAGAAGCCAATGCATATGAGAGACGGCATGACTTGCCTTGAGTTGCTTAAGCTTGTAAATATGCCGTCACTTATCTTAAATGACCAGTCCCATATCCTTCTACTCACATAGCGCAAGATCCGAAGGCATAACTCATTAGTGTGCTCAGTCCTCTCCGAAAGATATTAAATGAGTCAAGTGTCGGTCTTGAGTCATGTCATCGCAGCGAGCGAGTAGGTGCGAGATCAAGCGCGATCTCCTTATGTGATCAGACGGATGCTACTTAGTGGAGCGATCTCGAGCCTCCTGGTGTTCGATAAGATAGCAACTATTTGTATTGTTTTTTTTTTCAGTAGGTCCTTCTCAGTAAAGATCTGGAACTTCTGCTGCAGATCTTGAAAGCATTTTTCTATTAACAAACGGCTTTGAAGTGCTCCTTTGCACCATTTGAAATGGGGCGATCTTTTCGCTCTCTCCTAAGCTCTCTAGTCTGGCAGATATTCACTCTACGATCTCTAGGACGATCTCTAGGTGCCGAGTAGTCACCCTGTGCTGTAGATGGTTCTACCGCGCGGCGAAAACGAGGCTGCTCAAGTCGTGACTCTAGAATATGATCTAGGTGCGATCTGTCGTAGATCTAGATATGTCTCTCGTACGAGTATGGTTTAGCCTTAGAACTACTACGCTTCGGATAATTTACGCTCCAACAGGAGGGGGAGCGGATATTAGTAATCCCTAGCTACGAAAGTTTAATGTAAGTTGCGCGCGTAGTCGAAATTTATGATGAAATCATACATATTCCGAGTAAAATGAAAGGAATTCTATGAATGGCCGACAGTATGTTGACAAGGCCCCCCCTGTAGTTCGCGAGTTAGTCGTCTCTATTAAGTCGAGAACTACCTATATCCGACTGTAGTTCGAACGGAGAGCCCAGAGTCTGAGCCGTGCGGAAGGATTATTGCCAAGCAATAGTCTGCGAAAGACTATGCTTGGAGAACTACCAGTGAATATATTGTCTCATAAAGCTCCAAGAAGCACGACTCTGATGGGGATTTCCCATCGGCTAGTGTCATGTATCAGGTCCACCCCCTCCTGACCCATTGGGGAAAGCAAGAGTAAGGAGTAGCAGTTGCTTTATTTTCTAAGTCATTTAGAGCGAACAGCGATTGACTAATCCCTGTGGTTTCTAGTCCAGTTAGTTGACCTAGTTTATTCAGTGGGAGCGCGCGTTGATATATTGAGGGCTCCGAGAAGAATTGGCCGACTCGCTCGTTGGTTCTCAGCAGACAGATGGGCCAACAGATAAGAAGCAAGGGGCATTTGTGCAAGTGATGGGATTGGTTTCCCTTTTTTCTGTCCGGCCTTTCTTCAAGACAGTTAGTTTTAGCCAGTATGCTTGTAGCAATGATAAACAGTCGCGCGCTCATGTCAGTGCTACCTAGTAGTCTCTCTCTGTACTGATGAGAAGGCGCAGGGGCATCTATTTGCACTGGTGAGAAAGCGCTGAGCGTTCGATAAGAGGAGGGCGGGCCCGAGTCTGATGCTGTCGCGTTTCATCTGATTGGGCTTGTAGCGGTAGCCTGAGGGATTACAGAGGAGACAGCTACACCAAGCGAGCAGCGAAACCGATAAGAAAAAAGAGGGAGCACCCAGGCAGAGGCTGGAGAGACGGAGGCGAAACCGATAAGAAAAAGGCGAAAGGAGGGAGAGGCTCTGGGCTTGGGATGGGGGGGGGGCTGGCCTGCCAAACTGTGAAGAAAAGTGGCAAAGTATCGAAAACGACACCGGGGCACCGCTGTCCCCTAGCAGTTTGGCTTAAAAGTTTCGCGAGGTGTCGCCCATGTTGGGGCGCTTGCACTTTTGTACCTGGTGCGCCAGTTGTTGTCCTTGTAGATGCTCCACTAGAAACCTGCGCGGAGCGAAATCCCTGGACACAGAGCGAATGCTTGCACTTTAAGCGCCAGAATTTCGATTGTATGCCAGAAAAAGCCTAGGAGGCTCCCGGCGGTTCTGCAAGTCCTTCGATGGCTTCAATCTCCCACAGTCCAGTCTTTTCGGAGTTTGAAGGTATTACTTTCCAGTCCGAGGCACTTAAGCGAGGCAGGTAGCGGACTTCTGCAGCGTAACGCTAAGTCACCTTCGAAACGTGACACAAAACCGCCTCGCCGCAACGTTTCTTCTGCTACGTTCTTCCTTTGTTGAAAGGCGTACAAGAACGCCGACCGTTGGCACCTGTATCGCGCGGCTTCCTTGCCCTGAAGGAGCGCCGGGGCCGCCAACCATATACGCGCACAGCCGCGGCATTTTCCCCACCCGCGAAAAGACTGAACAAATACAGAACATTTATAAACTTAATACCCTTTTATCCGCTAGGGTTCCTTTCGTGAGTGCCATATATGGCTCAAACTGTAGGTCCTTGCGCGAAGACAACGCCACGCCTACGTTAAAAACGTAGTTTTTTTTCTCCTCTGCTCTGGAGGCGTAGGTCTGGAACGTCTCTTTGCTTCCGTATCTTCGTTGTCCTTTGGTCTCCTTCTTAAACCTGTGGAAGGATGTTTCGTCCACGTTGCAGACGACTAGATCGCCAGGCGCTGTATCGGCCGTCAAAGCTTCATAATCCGCCCAGGCTGTCTTCATCGCTTTTGCAATTTCGATCCCGCAGCGCCTCGCCCTGAATTGTGTTTTCACAATACAGGTCTCCACCTGCCACCTATCTCGAAATGCCCGCAGCCACCCGCGCCCCGCACTTGACAGCGACCCATCGCGGATCACGGCCAAGGACTCGCGTACGCCGTTCTTCCGCGCGCGGAAAATAAAAAACTCCGAGTTAGAAGAAGAGAAAATATTTCTGAAAACGCAACCACCAAACCCTTAAAAAGTTGAGAAAAAAAATCTAAAAAAAATTTATGTAAAAAACGTAGACTTATCGCGAACTCCTTAACAATAGTCTCCTCAGCTGAAGCGCCACCGGGAACGGATTCTACATACGCCTTGGTTTCTTGCTCGCTCAGCTCTATTGCCCTGCCTTCGGCTGTTGCGAGTCTCTTGTTAAAGCAGTCAGGCCCACGCGACCTTTTCTTCACCTCGAAGCCTCTCGCATTTACGAGAGGGCGCCGCTTCCCCATGTTGATATCCACAAAAAAAAAGAAGTAGATCTATCGACAGCCGTTGAAGTTGTAGTGCACGAACATGAAATTTATTTCAGTGTAGTCTCTGTATTCTTTTGCTGAAGTTGAAGTGATGTAGTTGAAAATATTGGCCTTGTAGTAGTAGTGGTAATTGTGCGTGCAGATGATGTATTTCTATGTCCCAAAAGTTCGTCCTTCTCCGTGTAACGTCCACTTCGTTGCGGTTCCTTCTCTACTCGGTTCCGTCGAAGGCAAAGTCCGCCTCGTTTTCTCCGGCTACATGTGTCCTGCCAGTCGTAGCTCCACCTCCAACGACAGACTCGGTCGCCGAGGAACGTAGAATCGATGCTCCAACAGAAGGAACGGAAGATGCAGCAGCAGATGCGCCTTGACTTCCGCTTGAACTTGCACCACGAGGCTCCGAACGAGAACGAGAGCGACTACGACGAGAAAAAAGCTCTGCTAGTGCACGATCGTCACGACGAATTTTATCTCGCTTTTTCTGCGCCAAATTGATCCCCTGCATAGTGGTCGTCTCGACGCGCTTGGCGGAACGGTTGTCCAGTGCAATCTCCTTCAACTTCCTGTTCAAACGACTGATCTCCCAAATATCTTGAGCGCGTTTGGCGTCCGCGAGCTGTCGACGCAAAAGTTTCTGCTCCTCCTCTCTCAACTCACGATCCTTCGCACTGGAGCGGGCAGTTGAGCGCAGATTTTTCAACTCGCAACGAACAGCAGCGTGACTCGACATGACTGTTTTTGGATGTGGTCTATTCCGTGTAAATCAGGTCTCGTAGAGAGTTTTTTTAAACACAAATGTTTCTCAGAGTAGGCACAAATGTTCACGGTCAGTTAGATAATCAAATCTAACTACTTTTTTCCCTGAGAAAGCGCAAATCAATCAAGGGCTCGGGGCAAGGGTGTCGTTGAACTCCGAAACTAGGAATATTTCCTATAAATATCTCTCAAGAACTGCCTGGAAATGCTCTCTCGATCTGCACTCGATCGATCTTATTGATCTCTCATAGATCTCATTTGTGCTACCACTTGTTTAAGGTAGCACAAAATGCCAGAACTCAAGATCAATAAAATTCATCCTTTCATTTCAGCCGCCAAGCGCTGATCTTCCTCCTGGCTCTTTGCGGATCCAAAAAAAGTCTATCTGTGTAGACCAACATGAGCTTGCTCAAGCGTGATCTATACTTTTTGCCTTTCAGCTATGAATTGCCATGCATATTACGATCTCAACGTCGTTGCCACAGCCAGTTTCTTGATCCAACAAAAATTCAATAAATTTTGACCATCGGGTATTGTCTTTGGGGAGAGAGGATCATTCACAAAAATAGCCAGTCACAGGGTATATATGATAGGATGGATTTATTAGTCCACAATCAATATGGGGTACACTTGAACGCAATAAAACAGAAAATAAATATTTGCGAATCAAAAAACTGGAATACAACACTACACTGACCATGAACTCGATGACAAAATCAGCACAAGAAATCTTTTTCTAAATCATTAACGGCAAGAACAACTTTAAGCTGAGACATATCCGTGAGAGTCATCTTCTCCTAGAAAGTCACTTTTATCCATGCTCATGCTGTAGGACTCCGCCAAAGGCTCGGCCTCCCACCACATATTATTCCAAAGTTCATCATCTCTCTGGGTCGGGGTCGGCTGGTAACTTTCCCTAACGACTCTGGGAAGATCTTCGGAAATGCTGCAAGATAATAATTAACAAGTATGAGTGCCAATTTTGAACTATTTTAAATTAAAAAATTATCATGATTACTCACCACAGAAGCCGTTTTCAAAATGTGTTGAGTAAGATACGAATACTGATGCCAGACCAACTTCAAAATAATCATGCTTAAAAAATCAGAAAGTCTTTCGCTACGTTTTAACGATACTGAACTAACCAGAAAATCCTTCACTACACCTCAGCCGGAGTGACTGCCGCACCGTCTCCAATCTCCGTTTTCATAGCGTAGCTAGGCCAATGCAAATTAGGCACTTTGCATTTCACAAAAATGCCCCAGAGATCTTGAAACTCCTTTTTGCGGCTAAAATTCGCAGGAGATTTTTTCAGCTGGTCTCTTTCCCAGCGGCTCAAAACCATCTGCTCATGCAGTTCATCAGGGTCACCGCACTGCTTCATATAATACGCCCGCAAAACACGAGGTAGCGCATCAGCGCGCCATTTCTTCCTCCCCTCAGAGCAAAGCGCAGTAGGAAGATCCTTAGAATCAAAAAGAAAACGAGCCTCCTTAGCATCCCGCAGTAAACCTGGGATGAAGGTTAATGTGTGAAGCTTACTTTACTTAAATTTCATCTGTACAGCGATCGACAAATACAAGAGTATTTTGCTCCTCCAGTTGCTCCAGTATAAAGCTCAGGCGACACTAGTAGTAACAAGATGTATACCAACAATGACTGCGTCAATCAGCGTCACCTCCGGACACGGGCACGGATCCTCTTGATCAATCCAGCAGTCGCCAAGCTTCGTATTTTTCTCTTCCTCCTTCAGAACAACCGCTTGATTTTTCTCCGCATACTTCTCGGCGGACAAAGCCATAGCTTTAGATTGAGAGGTGTGCATCAACGTCATCAGCGGAATAACAGGTGGCGCACCAGGCGGACCAGATAAATCCGTCTGGCTCGAAGGGGTGCCAACATTCGACTTTCCACTGCCACAATCGGACTGCGATGCGGACTGCATATTAGAAAAATGATAGCCATTTGTTGCAAATACAGCTAACACGAAGACCATGATAATACCTAATTACTTACCGGAGATGTGGATATATTCACACGCGCATCCCTGTGCGAATATATAACCAAGGTGACAACGGGCAACTAAGAGCCATAATTCCTTCCTTCCCCTTCTTCGGCGACCCTTCCTTGCGAAAGAGTTTGCCGTTCTTCTCCCATAAATGGCCGCGAAACTCGTGACAATATTTTGACGCATTCCAGCTCCAATCTTCTCCTTTGTACGTCATGTCCCCTTTCCCACCACAATTAGCATAAGGTCCAGCGCGCTGCGATGTGCAAGCGTCACCCCCAACTTGTTGCGAATGGCCTGTAGGTATGAAAAACAAACACGATTATAGATGCAGCTTAAACAACTAACTTAATTTTAACACTTAAGGAGAGAGCTCAACCTTCACGAAGAAGCATAGAATTGAAGTCATCATTTATTAACCAAATGAGCAACCGTAAAGTACCATCCGATACGCCTCCAGAAGCAGCTCCTTTCCCTTGATTGCCAAATATCTTCATCATCGCCTGGTCGTACTCGTTGCAACTGCTTGACAAATTGCTCCCAGAGCCACCCAAAGTAGATGTTGCCGCTTTACTGTCCTCGACGGACGAATGCGACACCATCTCCATTTTCGGAACTGAATAGGTAAGAGAAAATTTGATTTCCTAGGTAGTGGCAACACCTGCCCGAAATACAAAGTTCCGCCCAAAAAACTGAAAATTTCATCCATAAATATTCCCCTATACCACCTTCGAGTTGCCAATAAAATACACTTCTTAATACCTAGCTCCAGACAAATGTCGATGTCCAAGCACAACTGCCGGATTCTCTGCAGCTTGTCGCGGATATGTTGCTTCTCCATTGAATCCATTTTTTTCCCTTTCTTTGGACGCTAACAGAACCTTTACCTACTCTTACGTTGCTACAGTTACTGCATGTTTGTCCCTGTATTATATGCTTTACTTACAAAATTAGGCCCCAACTGCTTATGAATCAGTCATGCTTTTCAGCTTTTCCTCTTCATCCCACTCCGGTAGTCCTTATTTATTGACAACGCCGACACAATTCCTATGTTCCTTATGACATGACCCCCGCACCCCCCGTGAGTCCAGGTGGGTGTTCGCGGTCACGGGGTTTTACTCTGCGTGAGTTGCTTATTTCTCCACTTGTCGAAAACCAACTGCACCCCCTCCTCCCCAAGGGACTCACGGGGGGTGCGGGGGCGGACGCGTACGTCCGCGGCAGGAGAAGGAAAAAATTGCAAATGGGAATAAGTGGTAATCATTGTCGTTGCATGGATGAGTCGTAGCAGTGGAAGGTGAAAATGTATCACAGTGGGGGGAGTCACAGGAGGGGTGGGTGGAAGTGATGCGATGATTGCTGTAAACGAAGGGGGTTGTGCACGTATCAGGAACATGGCCACTCATGCGGGGCGGTTTTCAGAGGGTACGCATCTACAGGCTTAGGTAAATGTAACAGAACAGCACAAGGCTGGCTACTTGTAGCGCAAACATCTTCCGATATTGCCACAGAAGCGCGTCGCGGCTTGCGATTTCTTCGCTCTGTTGCTCTGCCTTCTTCTGAAGTGCGGCACACGCCGCCTGGAGTGTGTGAACTTCACGCCGGAGAGCCGCTCCCTGCTCCGTGTTCTCGTTCGTAAGGCGTGCCGCGTGTTGCATGGTCCGGATCTGTGCTTCTAGGTCTTCCTTCGTCGCCCAGAAGCGGCACCGCCAGTAAGTGGCGCTAAATTTTTCGTTTGGTCCGGCTTTGCCGTCTATTGATGTGCGGGGCATCTTGTCACAACTGGCGGGATGAAGAGAAAGAGCACACCAAAGGCAGGAAGCACCGTCGACGTCGAGGAGGTGCACCCAAACGCTGGAGGTCGCAAGAAAGCCAGCAACTACGGCGAACGCGTCCGCCCCGTCTCCGGATTTTCCGCGGCTTCAATATCCGGGTAGAGCAAGCTTTCTGCCTGTTCGTGGAGGTAGCTCTCGTAATAATCTGCGTCACGCTCTTCGTCTGGATCAACAAAAGAAGCACGGGGAGAACCTTCCTCAGGTGGGTCATCCAATGTTTGTAGATACCAGTCAATCAACTGTGCCTCAGATAATGGAGGGTCCTCAAAGTCTAACACGACAGGAGAAAGAAGTGAGCACTTTTTTGGTTCTTTATCTAGCCGACCATATGGGTGCACCTTTTTGCGGAGTCGCCAGGAGGTAAACGCAGCGCCTCTGGGTGTTGTACATAGTGGCAGTGCCTGCTCTTGGTAAACTCCGTGCATGTCACTCATGACGTGCGAAGTGCTCTACTGTGGTCGGATGTGCACTTTTGTGGATGGTAGCGCAATAAATTCAAGTGCGGCAATTCTACGCACGGCACACGCTCAAAACAATCACAGCGCTAAGAGAGTAACAAAATGAAAAGCGACAGACTCTCTCTCGCTGCACCGCGAGGCGCGTATGTTGTTACCGATGTAACCAAAGAGAAGGAACGGAACCGAGCCAGAACTCTGCGGGTGTTTTAAGGCGTAACGCAGCGTCATGAGGGCAGGTAAATTCCTCAACGTGGTCGGCCTTTGGGTCTCCTGTTTCTGATTTGTTCGGGGTTCGGGGGTGTCAAAATCTACAGCAGCAACACGCTGCGAATACTTGTGGAGAAGTTTAAACGGTCGACGACATTGCAAATGAGTGCTCATATCTATGCGAGGGAAATGAGTGCGAGAAATTAGCAGCGAGAAGCTTGGCAGCTATTTGTGGACCTCCTTCATTTTCACCAATATAAGATCAAAAGTGCCGAGCATATTCAGATAGTGCGCCGCGTTCTTCTTTTCTAGTGACACACTAGGCACCCACGCCATACATATCACAGTCCCCCCAGTCTTCCTGATAGTCTCCGAATGTAGAATACGGAGAAACGTGCTGCCCGAGAGGCCTTGAGGAGTACGGAGTTCCCCAACTTTCTGTCTGCTGCGTTGCCGTCGAGGCTCCTAAGCCTGTACCTGACCACGGTGACGGTGGAGCGAAGTCCACTGGTGTCCACGTGTAACCACCTCCACTGGACGTCGCCCAGTTACTGCTTTTCGGCGCGGAGGAAGAGCTCGAGGACGGCGCTGCCTGTGTGGCTCCGGTACTCTGTGCCCAGTAGGGAGTCTGGGTCCGTGGTGTGCAGTTCCCGTGCCACTGCATTCCCGAGCCTGACCAGCTCTCTTTTCGAGGCCAGGCGGAGAAGTCTTCATCGACGACTTCTGTCCACCCTCCCCAGGCCGCTTGCTCCTTGAGCTTTCGCGACTGTCTTGATGGACCTGCGTGCGGCGAGTCAGACGAGGCCTCGCGCACTCTTTTAGCTGGGTGGGGCATCTTCTTGGCTTTCGCTTCCTCACGCCAGTAGTAGTCCGGTGCAGGACTGTCGGTCTCGCTGTTGAACGGATCAGAAGGCCCTCGGGCATCGCGGAGCTCGTCGTCCTTGGTTCTGTGTGCGCTTCCGCGTGCTGCTTCCGCTGGCTTTCTCCTCGCGGCGTCGCGGCAGTCTATTAGAAAGAGAAGCAAGAGAGGCAGCGGCGGTTATATTATATGAGGAAACTAATGCACGCGCCGT